ACTTTTGCAAGCCACTGTATAAATACAGAATATATCATATGGATATAGGGCGCTATGACCAAAATCTCATATCCCGATATAAGACATTTATTGTCCTGACAATGATATAAATCACAAAAATTTAACATTTTCTGTAAATTCTGTGAATCTCGGGCAGCTCGACTTGCGTGAAGTGTTTTCAGCTGGGCGTCATGTACCTGGAGTCCAGTGTTTTAACCGATGCATGAAATTGTACATTTTTAGAAATAGGTTGTAACGGCCGCTGTTTTCTTCGTGGGTATTTATAACATGGCGTGCTGCGGGAAAAAGGCTGTTCTAAAACAAACAACTAAAGAATGTAAAACATTCCCTCCAAAAAACTTGTAGATTCTAAACAAGCAAGTCAGTCCGTGCATGATTACATTGCTTCGCCCATCAAAAAGTACCTGAGTACCTATCATCATTTATTGGACTGACGAATGTCAGTTGGAAAACATTTACAAATCAAATGAGAACTTTTTCTCATTTGATTTGTAAATTTGTAAAGCAAAGATTGTAAAGTGCACATGTGTGTTAAACCAGATCAAACGGATACTGTGTAGAAAACTGTGTGATAGCCGATTTACATAAATAGTAGTGAAGAATCACACACTGACACAGGTTAGCTGACAGGTCAGACTGAGTGTGTTCGTGCATAGAGACACACACACACAGTGAGAGGGAGATTTACATTGAGAGCTGAAACAGGAGAAGCTGTACTGATTCCAGATCTGATTGGGATTCACAGGCTGAGTTCTGTGTGCACGGATACATTCCTGCAGGAGGAGAGGGGAGGTGTGGAGGTGAGTGGGAGTAAGAGGATGACTCCATTCGGTAAAAATCTTTCTGTATTTTTTTAAGAGAGTGGCGCTGCGCCTGTGGCTGAAACTCAGCCTTCCCCTTTATCAGCATCAGTGATGACATCAAAACTACATTTTGGGGGGTCTGGGTGGGGGGAGTAAGCTACCAATGAGCTACCGACTAGCTCACTGGTTGTGTTGCTCCTGTTTGTCGTTCAGAGAGGAACTTCTCCTATCGGTGATGTACTCAGCTCTTTTGGGCTGTAACGCTAGAGGGTACTCCCTCTTGGCAGCAGCTTTCACCTTAGTGAATTGCAAGGTGAGGCAGGTGGAAAATTTGTTTTAAGTGCTGCTTACGCCGAGTTCACCATGGCAGCAGAGCAAAACAAGAATTAGCACGACTCTGTTATCAGAGTGAGGGAGAGCAGCTGAATGCTTTCTTTTTTTCCAAGGTTTGAATGAACTAATAATAATTTTATAATATGTCACAGATGATCAGTTTCCAGATATTCCCCTGGTTTTATGATATTTTTTTTTATCTATATTTGGCTTTTTATGAATAAACAGAAATGCACTGCGATTTGTTTGCTTAAGGTTTTTCAAATGATCTGAATATAGATTGATACTGGGCCCCAGAGAGTGTGATTGCCAGTGGCTGATTTGTCAGTATCAGATTTTTATGTAATCTTTAATCAGTTCTGCAGTGGTTTTTAAGGTATTTAAACACTGCTGAGTTGCAATGCAAAGAATGCAAAAAAGAAAATACATGTTTCACATATTTAGTTTATTATTAATGATGCAATATTCACTGTGTCTCCAACAATAGATCTTGTATCTACCAATCAGAAAGCAACACCGGTCTCAGCCTTAATGGAGGAAAAGCTGAGTGGTGTCGTGACAGAACAAAGGAAAAAGTCCAGATGACAGCAGGTGACACATTCCCACTATGCTGACATAGCTGGTCAATTGACAGCTCAAGAACACGCCCTTCCTGCTGAACACCGATAGTGCAGCAATGATTGTTAGGAGGAAGGCTTGTGTTGCCTTGGTGATCGCTGCCATCCTCTTCCTCATGATTGCCAGCCAGAGCATTCAGAGGAGGTATTTCCTGTTGCAGCCTGCAGCTCCGCCCAGAGGCCACAGCACGTCCAGTGGCAGGATGACAGGTGAAGAGCGGGTGTGAGAAATGAATGTTTGTTTGTTTTTTGTTGTTGTTGTTGTTGTTTTTTAAGTATTGATCCACACGGCCTGAACTTTTTTCTGTTTCCAGCAGCTGAATTCACAGGCCCAATTTCAGGTCAGGCACCTCCTTACCTGAAACCTGAACAAATTCCCACCGAGGAAGAGATGGTTGAGGAAGAAATTGACGAGGAGGAGGAAGAGATGGTGATTCAGGAGCAGCTTATGAAAAACGCTAAGTATGACATGTAACACTTGTAACCCTGCATATCCACTAATACCCTGGTCTTACACCTGTGTTTTGTACTCTTTCAGGCTGTGTGGCTGCTCTGATGCCTGTATTTCAGACAACAATGGGTCGAAATGGTTCAGCCAGCGCTACGACGCTAAACAGCAGCCCATCATCAAAGAGACCGGCAATAATTTTGACTCTGATGCACTTCAATGGTGGCTGGTAAGGACAAAATGTAGTGATAGTTCAGATTTTATTAAAGGGGACCTATTGTCATTATTTCCAACTCTACATTTTTATTCTTGGACTAGATAGTTTTGCAAGATTCACTTTTAAAAAATGATCCTTATTTATCTAATACTCCACCTTAGTGTAGCCCCCAAAGGTCTGAAGGTCGGTCTGAAACAAGCTGTTTAAGCTCCTTTCCCTTTAAGTTTCCTTTCTTTTGAATGATTGTTCCTTTTTAACCAGGAAATGTGAAAAGCAGAACTGTGGCTTTTTAATGGCCAGCAGGGTCACTAACTCCAGTGGCAGTGACTGCTTTGTTTACTTAAACTCTAAATCCAAAACACTTTCTGTGAATAGTGAATAAAACAAGAGTTTTTTGCAAATGGTAATGTAATGTCCAAATTATAAACTTACCCTGAATTATCAATGTTTTTTTATTAAAATAGTACAGCAGTATTAGTAATGTCTACTTAAGCCACAGTACTGTCTTCAAAGTAATGCATCATTTGTTAATTCAACTTTTGTTTTTAAACTACATAAATAAATAAACAAGGCGATTTTTTTTGTTTTTTACAGTAAATGGCTTTTATTGCAAGTAAGTAAATAATTACCAAGTCATTTACAGTTTTTCCCTTTATTTCCTTTGCTTTAGTTTATGAACAAAGAAGATTCACAGGAAATCATTGCAGCCTTCAAAGTAGGGCTGCTCAATTAATCGAATTTTAATCACGATTACGATCTGGGCTTTCAACGATCATTAAAAATGACTGAGCCGATTATTAGCCCCTCCCTCATGCTTTACTCTCGCGCTGCTCCGTGTGGCAAATCGAGCGCACTGCTCTGCATTTCGAACACGCGATTAAGAGGACCTGAGGGAAGCTCGGAAAGCTAAGCAGAAGTTATTTGGAGAGGAGAGTGACTGCCATTGGTTGAAAAGAGAGGTAAAAAAAAAAAAACTTCAGTGGTGTGGAAACATTATGGGTTCGCGGAGTCAGACGTGGATCAAGTAGACACAGTGTGTAAACTTTGCTATGGTGTAGTAGCTGCACCACAGAGCAACACTGCAAAGTTCATATTGTTCATTTATTTCTTATATTGCAAACATTTTCACTGTTATCAGTATTTGCACACTATTTTATATTATTTTTTAAAGTCATTATTCAATACATTGTTATTGTTAACCCTTTAAAGCCGGTCAGAGCAGCACGCTCGTTTTGTGTAACTATTTTTAAATTCCTGTAGAACCTGAACCGCTAAGCTAGCACAATAAATTTTTTTCCATATGAAACCAGAGGAGTTGTACTTACATCTTATGCCATCAGCTTGTCCTCGGTCACGGTTTCCTTCCACATAAAGCTTTGCAAAAATTGCATAAAAAGCGCTTGCAGGAACAAAAACATAATATTCCAGAAACACGCTTTGCCGATCCGATCAGCTGTTCGTAACACTTCCCACATTGAAAAAGACGTCAACGCGAACTATCGCATTTCCTGCCCGAAACCGGAAGTGACGTCATTTTCGCGGAAAATGTAGTTTTTTACTTGTAGGCCTTAAAAGCCTATACTGGTGTTTTTATAAGTCATGTTTGACTTTTCTGAATAGTTTCTGGGATGCTTAGAACTCGAATTGCACTGCTGGAAATAGTTTATTTTGATGCACCTGCTGTTTTCTTTGCAAATTTGCATCATAGGATTGTTTTTTTGTTTTTCCTGCAGTATATAAAAATTGTGTATCTCCAAAATAAAACTATGAAGACACTCAAAATAAATTTCCTGTTGTTGTAAACTATTTTTTGCAACTTTTTTGTATTTAAAGTTTTGAGGGATAAACCTCTTAAATTTCTCCAAGTAGAAATATATGTAAAAAAACAAAACAAAAACGATTTTCAATTTTTTTGTAGTTTATTGCACTTTTTTGCAATTAATGTAGTTACTATGGACTTAATGCATACATATTATTAAAATATGGGCTATAACAGTTGTATTGATGTATAGCAACTTGAAATGCTCCCACAAATGGCACTACAGCATGTAAAAAAAATAATACAAGTATCGTCAAATAATCGTGATCTCAATTTCAGTGAAAATAATCGTGATTATCATTTTTGCCATAATCGAGCAGCCCTACTTCAAAGGGGAAATGACTCAACAGCAAATCAGCTTAATCTCTGGGCATTGTCTTAAATTGAAAGACCAACAGATATTTTGTAACATACTGGATGATGTTGCAGTAAATAGTCAAGAACAGTTATGAAGTTTTGTATTTTCAGAAGCCTGAATTTGTCCTTGTGGAGACTGGCTGCAGTTTGCATGAGAAGACAAATGTCTGAGTCTTTTTCCTGCATTTAGAGAGGTGAACTCCTGCTGCAGAAACCATTAGTAGATTAAAAAGAGGAGGCCAGTAATGCTGCTAACATAATTAGTCTGGGCCACAGAAGGCAGTAAACTCTGTGTGTGTGTGTATGTGTGTGTGTGTGTGTGTGTGTGTGTGTGTGTGTGTGTGTGTGTGTGTGTGTGTGTGTGTGTGTGTGTAGGGTGTCAGTACTCTTTTGCCTGCTTCTTTTTTAAAATTAAGAAATTATTTAACTAAAAATTATTTTACTGTCATGAAAAACAGAGATAAGCACCAATAACAAGCCTTTTGACACTGGAAGTTTAAGAATTTTTAACGTGACTCATTATGCAAATGTTTTACTTGAGTATAAGTGTGTTAAACAGAAAAAAAAATGTTTGTCTGCTCTTCCACAGAGTCTTCAACGGGCCGGTAACGATCAGTCCTTGGAGGAAGTGATCTCAAAGATGTTCCAGGTCATATCCCCACCCTCTATAGACTTGGAGCCCGTGCCCTCACGTTGCCGTAGTTGTGCAGTGGTTGGCAACTCTGGCAACTTACGGCATTCTGGACACGGTGCACTCATTGATTCTCATGGCTTCGTGTTCCGGTACATGCGCACACACACACACACACACACACACAATCGCGCGCACACAGCCCTCACCCTCCTTATGTTTTTTTTCTTCAGGATGAACAAGGCGGTGACTAAAGGGTTTGAGGAAGATGTCGGTCGTCGGACGACGCATCACTTCCTGTACCCAGAGAGTGCAGTGGACATCAGTAATGGTACCAGCCTCATCCTGCTGCCATTCAAACTGAGAGACCTGGAGTGGCTGACCAGTGCGCTGTCCACCGGAACAGTCAAAATGTACGATATGTAAAAAAAACAAGTATGCTCATTATCTCATGCATCCATCAAAAAGACATCAAAAAACATATCAGACAGGAGAGATTATTTGATGTAAGAGGGAAAAGTTTATTTTAAAATAAATCTAAAATTAAACTCCTGGAGTCTAGACCAGCAGTCCCCAACTTTTTTTTGCGCCACGGATTTAATGTCAGTATTTTCACAGACCGGCCTTTAAAGTGTCGCTGATATATACAACAAAATAAAATGACCAAGAAAAAACGGTGGCATTTGGTAAATATAATAATAAATGCAAATTCACTGTGTAATTGTGTAACTTTATTAGCAGCGTCCTTCTGAAATGCGCCAACAACATTGAGAGTAACATCCTTCTCTCTGCCCCTTAATGCTCTCTGGTTGCTATGGTAACGCATAAATATTTCTTTCAAAATAAGACACACAACTACAACATGGGGAAAAATACCCAGGGAAACAGAGTTAACAATAAAAACCCTGAAAACCATCAATTTCAAACCTGAGCCTCAACTTTCGTGGCCCGGTACCAAACAACTCACAGTCCGGTACCGGCCCGGGGGTTGGAGACCGCTCTAGATGGTTGTGGTGGTGGAGCAGAGTAAGCAGAGGGTTGATGGGGAGAGAGAGTTAAAAGAGTGATAGACTACAAAGAATTTCAAGAGAACAAGAACTAGGGGGCTGTTTGGCTATATATAAATATGAGCCCAGAGGGTTAGATAAAAACCTACTCAAAACAAAGGTGCAAAGGCAGGAGGGACAGTCTGCACAGTCTATTCAAATCAACAAGTCCCCCGTAGAACAGAATTAAAACCACATTCACTTTCAGCAGAAAAAGGTAAAACACTCGAGAGGATGACAGTCTGAGAACCTCCAGTGTCCCTAAAACACGCACAGGTTTTAAATCAGAGGGATTGTCGGTTAGCGATACTGAGCCATCAAAAATGAATGGTTCAAAACAGGGGTCCGGCACCTCATTACAGGCCCTCAGCTTTCACAAAACCCACCCCTTTGGGTTGCTGAGCATTTGATGTTTTGCGTTTTAAGGCTAAACAGTCAGCAATCACATGTCCAGTTTTATGACAGTAAAAACATTCGCGGGTTTCCCTGGACCCAGACACTTTAGCCGTGTGGGGCTGTTGCACAGCGCTAACCCGTGGCTTCTCACTGCCAGTAAACGAGGCTTTATGAGTGAGCACAAACTCATCAGCAAGGAGCACAAGAAGCAGCAGATGCGAGAGAAGTCACTTTCATTTAAATATAGCACAATGTGCTCAGGAAAATATTTCTTAAACTCCTCCAACAATAGTAACTCACGCAGAGCGTCATAGTCACCTACTTTTGAAGCAACGCACCACTTATCAAAGAGAATCCCCTTTTCTCTAGAAAACTCCACATAAGTTTGGGTCGGCATTTTCTTTGGCGAAACCTCTGCCTATAGGCTTCGGGGACTAACTCATATGCCTGCAAAACAGCTGTTTTAACACACGCGTAGTCTAAACTGTCCTTTAAAGAAAGCGCAGCCACCACCTCTTGGGCTTTGCCGGACAGTTTGCACTGCAACAAAAGAGGCCAAATATCACTAGGCCACTGCAATGCGCCAGCGATACTCTCAAATGCTGCAAAGTATGTATCAACCTCAGTTTCTCTAAAAGTGGGCACTAAAGAAATGCACTTGCTGATATCAAAAGCAGAAGCGGACGAGGAGGTGGAGCCGGAATTTTCAGCAGAGACAGATGAGGCTTGAGGCTGAGACTCCAGCTCAAGCTTTCGCAGCCTAATGGCTTTGTCTGCCTCTATCTCCAGCCTTCTTATTTCAAGCTCTAGCTGAGGCCGCCTGTTCTGGACCTTCTCCTCAGCCTCCAATTTGAGACGTGCCAGCCGCACCTTCAGCCGAGCTCCTTCTCTGCCATCTGAACTCCCAGAGGAGAATGGATCATAGCGAGGAAGCGTGCGCGGCGTTTTTCCCCGCTCATCCCCCTCGCCATCCCCACAAGAACCATTCTTATGGCTCTCCTCAACTACGGCAGCTTGGCTTGGCACACCAGAGACCACAGGCAAAACAGGCGCTTGAATCACACCAGCTTCCACCAACTTGTCCACTACTAAAGCTTTCAAATCCCATCTTACGGAGATTTTTTGAGACCTGCATCTGAAAGTGATCCACAATTTGCAGCAAATCGTTTTTGTGACAGCTATTTAAAAGCTCAATAGATGGGGCATAAAGTGCTGTAAACAAAACGCAGCCGACATAGCTAAAGTGATAAAGCTACTTTAAAACAAACGCCCCTTTTTTTTCTCCCCCCCAGGGGACAAAGGACCCCCTATGGAGGGATCCCAGGATATATATCTCTTATATATAAGAGAGGGAGAGAGAGAGAGAAGTAAGAGTTGCATATGTTTATACACTAATATACATGAATGCAAAAAGATAAAAAGAAACATGACACACTGTAAACATATATGACCTGTATGTAAGTGTTTGTGTGTGTCTTTTTTTCAGGACCTACATGAGGGTGAAAGCAAGAGTGCACGCTGATAAAGACAAGGTAAATTATAATCTCGACTGATCTCAGTTTTCTCTACAGCGCTTTCTGTTGCTATTTTTACTTTCAGCTTCACCCTTTTTTCTTTCTTTTTTTTGCTGCTGCTCCTATTTTTAGTTCTTAGTTTTATCTACCGGTATTTACAAGATTTTTAAAATTGCATTTGCTAAAGAATAAGGGAACAAAGATGAGCAAATAAATCTTTGTAGTATTTTTATTTTTTAAGACGAGTGAGAGTGAAGGAAGTGTCTATACCAGAAACCACACATGACGAAATACACACTTCTGGTCTGATCTGGACACAGATGCCCCACTACATTTGATGTTCAAACATGACCTGTTATACATTTCCTTATTTTCTGTCATATCTACCCTGATAAACTCAGGGGTTGCAACAAGAGTCTTTTTGTAAGTACACGGGGCTTATTTTGGAACTGTGGGCAATGCAAACATACTCTTGTGTAAAACACGTCCATTTTAAACAAAGTGTGTGTGTGTTTGTGTGTGTGTGCGCGTGTGTGTGTAGGTTGTTGTGGTGAACCCAGTGTTCTTTAAGTATGTTCATGAACGTTGGAACGAGCATCATGGTCGCTACCCGTCCACCGGCATGCTGGCCATCGTCTTTGCTCTGCATGTCTGTGACCAGGTAAGAGGAAAGTAAAGACTGGGTGTAGAGAGAAAAACCACATTTGTTCTTTCTTTTCTTTTTCTTTTTTTTTGTATATTCACAAAATAATGTGTTACTAACCAAAAACAGACGAGTCCAAACAATATTGTAGCATGTCCAGACTAGCAAGTCATGGCAATACAACCAAGACTAGAAAAAGTTGCATTTCCTGCGAAAATGCAGTTTGAATGCCGTGTAGTGGAATCTGCTAAAAAACAGCTGAAGAAGCACAATTATCTGCTGAAAAGAGGGGTAGAAGCTGAACTGCTGAAGACAGTTGTATTTGAAAGGGTAGACTGAAGAATGTCAAGAAAGCAGAGTGCACGGCAAACGGGAGAAGATGTGCGGCAACCGCCACAGGTAGGATTCGAACCTTTGCTACCGGGTCTCACGGCGGCTGCTCATCCCACTGAGCCAAACCAGTTCCGGTCCCAAACAAAGATGTGATGAGAGAAAAAATGAGTACTGTGCAGAAGAAGCTGAATTGTGCTGAAAAAAGGTGAAGAAGCAGAAGTTTGTTGTGAAAAGAGGTGAAGAAGCTGAAAATTCTGCTGAAATGGGTGAAGAAGCTGAAGTTTGTGTTGAAAAGAGTTAAAAAAGTTGAACTGTTAACTGGATATAATGTTGCCATAAGTGGGATTCGAACCCGGGCCTTACAGCATTCACACAAAAATTAATATGTGAGGGTAGAAGTCACACATGAAATGAAGCGTATAAAAGCGGGATGTATTTAGTATCAGTATGACCTGTCAGCAGTGTGTCATGCATGGTTGATGAAATAGCTTCCTTCTCTCTGTCCAGGTGTCAGTGTTTGGTTATGGTGCAGACAAGCAAGGAAACTGGCATCATTACTGGGAGAAGAATCAGTTTGCCGGAGCCTTCAAGAAGACCGGCGTCCACAGCGCTGATTTTGAGAATCAGATCATCCAACACCTTGCCAACGAAGGCAAGATCACTCTACACCTCAACACAACCACATCCGTGCAGACAGAACTAGGCACCAACGACAGACTGGCACATAAACTCAATTGACCTCTACCTGGCTGATCGTCAAAACACCTGGCTGTCCTCTGGCACTCAAAAACCAAATCTGAGCCAGTTTTTAGACCATACATTTGTTGTTTTGGGTAGAAATTAGACTCCTGCACTTTTTCTGTCAGTCACCACAACTGCCTTGAGTCAGACATCCAGGAATGCTGGATTAATGAATGTTGTTAAGCTTTTTCAGACAGCTGAATTACCTGTGGACACATCTGTGAGGCTTATCTAATTTAGAGATCCCCTGCCTCTTCCAACGTTTGCTGGCTGAAAGAAGTTAAAGCTCAATTCAAAAAGATCAGTCTGTTTTTCTAGACCTAAAACCAACTTTCCTGACGTGTGCAACTGCTGGGATAGACCACAAAGACCTTTGCTGTGAGCTGGAAACAACCACAAACTTTATTTTATCCTATCTTTGTTTTTATTGGATTTTATAGGTACGCAGGGATAACCTTTTTTTTTTTTTTTTTTTTTTTTTTTTTTTTTAAATAAAAGCACTTTTTCCTTAAGAAGAAATGGTGGAAAGAGGCCAAGTGAAGGAAGTGTTCACTTGGCCACATAAGATTTCTTGCATTGTATATCATTTATAATCCCTCCATTTTATTTGATCCTAATTTTAACACAAACCGTCCTGACCTAGAAGATCATGACAAACTTTTTAAGCCTTGTTACTTCTGCATTTTCAGAATGTAAGCCAATGATACTTGGAACTTCCTGTCCTGTCTTGGTTCTCAGCCTGTGTGATTCAGCAGTCTGCTGCAGTCTCAAGGTTTGCAGTTGATTTCATCCAAAATAGGGAGATTTTAGTTTTCTAATCAACGCACATAACCCCCTGTTGTATCCAACCTTCATTGGAGTAGTAAAGTCAGGAGAACCAGTCCTTCTGTTGCACGTCAATACAAAAATACTCAAAATGTGGTGATACTTGAAACCTAAACTTAGTTATTGAAAATATGAGGGCTGATATTGGCACATCACAGGTAATATCAGTTCAGATGTGGATACTGTATTGTTCTTTCAATCCCAGTTTAAAACCACTCCTGACGTCCCTCAGTGTACACTGTAAACTCCAAACAGATACAAGTAGCTTTTCTGGTAAAAGGTCCTAGATTATTTTGTCAACCTTCGGTAACATCCTCTATAGAGTTAACCCGTTTCATCTTTAAACTTTAGGCCTGGTTTCTTCGCCCCCTTTAACAGGTAGTGCATATCTTTTATGTTCACATTTAACCTATGTCTTACGAGCTTTTAATCCCCTAAACACATTTTCTGGAACAATGGTTCTCTGTGCTTCTTTTTGGGGTTTGAGCACTGTGAACTTGAAGAGTTAACAGCAGGCAAAAGTCAGTGCAACTGACCTATAACACTGAAGGGTCAAGCAGCAGCATGTATGAATACCACTGATGGAGCTTTGAATCACAAACTTGACAAGTGACATGACTGTTTGAAGGCACTGGACGTGATATTTGCCATGCTGGGAGTTAACCTACAAGAAAAGACTGAAAGATTAACAGAGAAGAAGAAACAGCTGAGTTGGGCCTGTGTTTGCTGGAGATTTGAAGGCCACACAGGACACTGTGAGAAGAGGGACAGGGACCAGTGAGAGGTCAAGCCCGGACGAGTTTGAGTGAGAGAGTACAGGATATAATTGGATTGAAAATGGAGGCTGAACTCATGGAGGTTTAGGATTGTCCACCACAGAGAAAGATAAATACATGAACTAACAATTACGTGAATGAATAGAAAACACACATACACAAATTGTTACATGTGAAATTATTTTTGGAAAGAATCAGAAGTGAGACAGTTTGAATCCACAGCTCAGTGCAAGGATGCATGAATTAAACCTGACTATAAAAATACACATGCAATGAAGAAGCAGCTTGCACCTCTTTTCCCGAAAATCAAACTTGCAGCGTAACATCTCATAGTCCATGTCCACACTGGGGCCGCTGCCTGAGAAGAATTCATCTCTGAGCGGCAGCCGCTGATCTGGTCTCAATGTCAACTCTCCTGATGTTAAGAAGAAATTCAAATTGGGACACAAACGAACCGGGCGGAAACACCAAATATTAACCCCCCGATTCTTTTGTCCCCATGATAAAACAGAGCAAACCGACTCAGAGTGTGTTAAAACATTTATATTTCTTTTTATTAAATCATCTTCCGGGAGAGAGAGACCCCTGCACAGCCCAAAACGCCAGTTGCAGGATCATTAACATTAGAATCATAAACTTTGTCTCATATAGGTATTATTTTGGTACTTTACACGTCACAGTTTCAATACAACCATTGCTTATATGGCAAAGTTTCTCTTTTCTGTCTGGCTTCCTGCATTTATTAATACGCTGTACAGCTCTACACTTCCTGTTTTCAGTCTGGCTGAGCACTTAGTTTGAGTCAAAAGTGGCCTTTTCTCTACAAACCTTCATTATTAAAGTACATAAAACAATATAATAAGAAAATAAGGATACTAAGGATATATTAATTACATGACAGTTACCAGCTGATGTTTGCAAGCCTGGTTACTAACTAGACTTTAGATTCGTGTTAAGCAACAGACTGAGAAACAAAAACCAAATGCATGCAAACTTTTGCTCACCAAAATTGGACCACAGACGTTTTTGGTTGCCTGATAGTACAATCAGGCACATCAGGCCATGTTATTCAAATTTGGCACTTACAGCTGCCTACATGTGATTTTATTTCATTTCGAAGCTAGCCTCAAGTGGCCTTTAGAGAAAAGCATTTCTACTTTGGGTTTCCTTCTTGACATTAAGTAAGAAATTCTATATTAGTAGCAGTCATCACAGTAGGAGTAGTTTCTCCTTGAGAACATGTGGGTTTTGTAAAGATTGGGGGTGAAAGGAGCATGGCAGCTTTGAAGTATGTCGACAAAGGCAGATTCTTAACCAAGACAAAATGGTGACTAATGGATGCAGTGTGATGCACTGTCCAGAAACCAGTGGGTGATGTCACAGAAACTATTGTGTCTTTTATATAAAGTCTGACGAATCATAACTTTTGGGCTTCACACAGTTGGGTCACATGTGCCATCATCGACGTGGGCAGGAGGTAAATCTAATACTAAAACATTTTTATCTTGTTTATTTTTTTTTAGTGGACTTCTTAAGGTTGTCATGAAGAGTCTGTAATTTGTCTCTGATCTGCCCCCTACTGGATGTACTTTTTAAACCACAAGTTGATGAATGCAACTGTTTGCTTTGTAATTCTGTGCATATGTGTACTTTAAAAAATGGCTGTTATAAGAAACAAACAGCCTGCTGTAGTAATGAGGTTGGCGTGTTAACAGGTTGTTTTAATGCAACAAAAATGTGCATATTTGTGGTGACAATGTAGACATATATACAAATAAGCCAGTGTGAAACCACCCTGAGACTGATGGTCAGTGAAAAGATCAATCTGCTCCAAAGAAAAATGTTCATACAATGTTGTCCAACACTCCTCTTTACCAAGTATAACTGTACAAGGTTGGTAGGATATTTTTTTTAATTTATTTATTTTATTGTCTGAAAGGAAAACAAAAGTCAGATACCATTAATGGAGGAATAAAAAAAAAACAACCCTTTGAGAATCACAAGCAGGCTGAGGACTTCTCAAAAAATTCAAATGCTGAATTTTCATTTGGAGGATGTTGCTCTGTCATTGGTGTTAGCTTGAGTGAAGCGTTTACCCTTATCTGTCTGGAACAAGTCAGTGTCTTGTAAATCCAACTGCTGCATCGCCAGAAGCCTTAATGTTAATATGAAACATCTGCTGCTTGCTCTAAACTTTTTCCATTCACTGCTGAGATCTAAACCTTTGTTGCCTTGTCCAGGAAGGGAAGGAAACTTCCTGCCAAATTACCTGGGAAATTATCCAGTTTACACAGATGAGGAATGCTTTAATGTGCCAGAAAACGACAGAGCAGCAGCCCTTCTGAGTCCTGAGCTGGATTGTTGTAAACAAGTTTACTTCCTCACCTTTAACAAAGGAGTTTGTTGTGACTTTAAATCCAAAGTTGTGCTCAATGACTCTCTGCAGTCTTCAAATGTAGAGTTTTATTTCCATTGCTAGGTGCAGATAAATCCACTTAGTCAGCTGCTCGTAATTCCATTATAAACATCTGTACATGAGCTGTAGATTTAGTACAAAGTGACCAAACGTGTTCGGCCTGTGGTACCATAGCTTTAATTCGGCTCGTCATGCAAGTTTCATTTAACAAACCTGCTGATTATCAGTCCGTTTATAGAGGCCAAACTGACAGAAGCATTGAAACAACAGATAAAAATCCTGAATCCACCGCTGTCACTTTGAATGAAATAAAACATTTTTTTTAAAAAAACAGAATTCATGGGTTTTTGTTTTTCTATTTGAAAAATTGTCCGTACTCTGGAGGTAAGAGCTGAACTGATCGTCTGTGGAGTTTGTCTATAAAAGCTGATTCTTACGCCAATGAATTTCTGCCACTATGCCAAATTCTTTTTTTTCTTTTTCTTTAAATGAAGATGTTTTAACAAGAACTGTTTTCTTTCACGAAAATGTTTTAGAAAAAAGAATCAAGAAGTTTATACAGAGATGCTATAAGGAAAGGTCTTTTTACAACCCCTGGCAAAATTATTTTAGGGAAGAAAAAAACATTTTCTCCAACCTGCAAAGCTCATCTGTCAGCTGTTACACAAGAAAGCTGGAATCAGCTTGATGGAGAATGTTTCTTTTCATGGATGAAACCCAGTGTTGATGTTATGGGGGAGCTTTGGGGGTCTATTCACGAAGGTCAGCTGAATTCTACTGACGTTTTTCAACAGTGTTTAATTTGAATCATGCTTGACTTACTGCAGCTCAAGTTAATTATTTAGTTAACAGCGGCTCATTGATTCTGTAACAACTGCAGTAACTAGTTTGACATTTGGAGGAGCACATGTGCCTGTGTAGGTTGGACTTGTGGAAGTACTCTCCTTAGTGTTTCTTTGAAACTAAGGAGAGGTCATTCATCCAGAATTATGGATACGGTTGCTTGTTTTTCTTTAAAGTTTTGTGTACACACACACACTTTTTTTAGATGTTTCTTTTTAATAACATAGCAAAATGAGTTGAGCAAAATGCCTCCTTGTCAAAACTAGTTTCCCTTCCAGTACATGTGCTCAGGCCATTGCATAAGCCTGAGGGGAGGTACTTTGATGATCTTCTTTATCAAAAAAAGTATTACATTTGGTTGAGGCATGTTTCATAAAGCCAGAGCAATTAAACAATTTGTTCATTTGCTAGACAGGAGACTTTTTTTTTTACTCTTTTTAATAATTCCAAACTTTTTTCCAGGGGTTATTATAAGCTGATATGTTGTTGTAACCAGGAATGGAAGTAGTCAAGTTGAGTGGCCACAGGTCACTAAAGTACAAATAATGCCTTAAAAAGCAAAAAGCTGTTCTAAATTCAGTCTGAATGGGTGTTAGTTACATTATGCTAGGATGTCCAGTACACAATTCCCTTTTTGTTTTGTGTTTTTGCCTCATTAAATGTACCACATAACATGGTGCCTCAGTAGAACCTATTCTATATTTTACTAAAAGTTTTACACAAATCATACAAAATGTGCTATATGAAGTTCCGGTGCTTAGCTCACTATTACGGACCTAATAAAAGAATTACACAAACGATTAATGGGAAAATAAAACATGTAACATTAAAAATTCTTATCCAATTATTATTATTATTATTATTATTATTGAACATACATTAAGAAGATTTGTGTTTTCTCTTAAAGTCATATCCAACACATGCAGGTTATGCACAATGATTAAATTCTACTGTCTTAAAGTACCAAGTTTGTCTATTTTTGTGCTTTACTTTTGTGCTTGACGCCATTACTTGAGTATATATGTATATTACATAAGCTTCTTTTTTTTTTTAATTGTTGCTTAAGTTTAACTATGTCTAAAATAACTCAGTACTTTTACTGAGATTGAATTTTAGGTCTTATTTTTCTCAAATAGCCAAATAAAATAATTATAAAACTTTCCATCCCTGGTTATAATGTTAATACAACGGTTCTTCTTAAAACAGAATTATTTAATCACGACAGAAGTAACTCATTATAATGAGAAGTTTTGAGACTTGAGCACTGAGTAAATTCATTTTGCAAACGTGGCAGCAACACACTGCTGTGTTCACTGAGGCGATGTGATATCTTGGGACATCGAAGGCAACTGGAAGGAAATGCGAGTCTCCCATGAAGTCCACCTTTCATATCTCACTTTAGAGCTTTGGTCCTTGGCATCTCAGAGTGTTTTGTGCTATCCGGGTAAGCAGCTGTAACCAACAGATCTGATCAATAATATGGCCTGAGTCCGGGTCTATCGACACCTAAAATGTGGCAGCAGTAGCTTGTGTGTTTTGGCTAGCCACAAATTCAGAAAACATAAATAAATTATAATAAAATCAAAAGAAAATGAGGCCCAGATTACCTTCAGAATAAAAATCCAGGGGATTGCTGTTTCTTGTGATTTGCCCTTTGTGCTTAAATATTTTTTTGCTTTTTGAGTAAATAAATAAAGTCCGGGCTACAGCAGCCTCGAGTGCTGGCTGTTTGGTCTGTCCGAGGCTGTCTCATTGTTTTTTTCCTGACCTAACTGGAGCCACATAAAAATAATGTGTTGTCTTTACTGAAGGTCATCCATAATGTTTCCATGGTAACTGAAGGCATGAGGAACACCGGTTGCTGTGACAACCGTGTCAGGACCATGAACATTTGAAGCCTCTGAACATCTGACCTGGTCCATCTGCAGATCAGGTGTTCTGATGTGGTTTAGTTCTCCAGAGCTCTGTGGTGATCTGGATTTGTGCTGGTCTGAGGTCAGCCCAGTTCTGGTTTCACATCAGTCAGACAGCGGCTGGACGAATGAGGACGGAAACAACCCTCTCTGGTCTGGTTCTTCCTCTATGTAACCATGCTACACAGAGAGAGAGAGAGATATGTTTACCTTAATGTTCACTGGACATGTAGTCAAACAGAGGTTTGAAGAGTGAGAGCCACTTGAGTGGATCACTGCAAAATTTTGCCTTCGTATTATGTACTTTTTTTTTTTATTCTAAAGGAGGGGTAAAGATTTGATTTTGAGCCCTGGTAACTTTTTAAGCAAAGGTAATATCAACAGTAAAACGTATACTTTAAAAAAATCTATATTTCTTTTTAATGCTCATCATAGAAAGATGATCTATAAAAGCTACTGAGGTTCAAGAGCACTTTCACAAATGGTGATGCCATTTTTTCCAGAGAATTAGTTAATAGCAGTTTGATTTCATACATGCTGATGACTAATATAAGCTGCTCTGGCACAGGTTAGAGTATCCTAGCAAGAACTGAACCACCTTTGTTAGCAGTGAAAATCCAGCTAAACCCAAAGTTTATCCTATAAGCTTTAAATTCTCCTTACCAGAACAGGCCTCTGGGCATATGTTTCAGCTGAAGTACAGACTTAAGTTCAGAGGACAGATGAGGTCACACTGTGAGACTTTCTCCAACCCGCCGGCCGAGGCTCTAATGAGAGGTCGGGTTGGTGATACTGATACCTACCCACCAATCATTGTCCTCCTGTCCCAGGACCACCAGCACCTGGCCCTCAGAAAAGCTCAGCTCGTCATGGTGGTCGGCCTGGCAGTCATACAGCGCCTGAACCCGACGACTGGATGCTCCTCGAGGCTAATTGATACATACCAAATCAGGTGTAACATTATTGCTCATGTATCACAGTGTAGCAATTATAATTTCATTGTACTGCCAATTGGAATTTGTTCCTCTATTGTCCAAATATGATATCGATTCACTTCTTTCATTTCAATTTTGTGCTCATTCTTTGTACCTTTTGCTTGCATAACTACTGTACCTGCACACAAATTATTTGAATTATACCCCTTTACTATTAAGGATTTCTTGATCATTACTATGCAAATTGTCATGACCACTGATCAAAGACCATGAGTACTATTCACAGAGAGTTGGGCAATGGCTGTAATCACAGCATTGAAAGATGATGGCAAACGTGTTGCGGAAGCAACTGGATTGTGATTTTTTTTTCTTCCTAACATTAAAACACTGCAAGGTTGATGGGGCGTTAAATATTTTCAAAAATCTCACCAGTGATCTACGAGGAAGTGGTTGAGGGGCGGAGCCTCTGCTTTCACTTTCAAAGCTCTGAGAGCGCTGATTGGATGGAGAGCCATTTATTGGTGCCTTACTGTTGAGGATCTGGAAATGGGAGGAGCCACTTTCACTGTCCGCCCTCCGAAAACCTCAGACAGAAAGACTCAGGTTTTAAGTACATTCTCATTCATACAGGGACAATAATTACATTAAATATATATTTTACAATTTCATAATAGAGAAAAAATAATCATTAAAATGCATTATTAATAAGTCATAATTAAGTTTTAAATGACCTGAAATGACTAAATTAAATGATTTTTTTTTTTTTTTTTAAATAATGCGTTTTTGTGCATGTAAAGTAATACATGTTTGCATATATTAAATAATGTGAATATTAATCTCTAAATTCAATTCACTTCTTTGTCAGATAAAACAACCTTTTTTTTTGGAACAGTCAAAAGCAACACACGTGCTGTAAATAAGAAAAAGCAGCAAATCCTCAGATAAGATTTTGGAATTTTCACTAAAACTGCAGATAAATTTTGTTTTAATAAAAATAAATAAAATTAAAAAAAACATCATAGAAGTCAGTGTAAACTCATAGAAGCCAAAATGTATCCTCAGATTTTGTCTGCTCTTCTGCTCTCTGGTTAAAGACTGTAGGTGCACGCTGTCTGTAAACATTTATCACAGGTTGGCATAATGGATTTAACAGACTCTTGATACGTAAAACAGACTCAGGTCTCAGAAGACGTTTTGGGACAGGAAGTACCTCTGTCAGATCGTTCAGTCAGTGAGCTGAGAGGAGAAGCTGGACTGGAAAAACAGAGACAGACAGGGAAGAGAAGGAGTCCGTGTTATTGTCTGTGGTGTTTTGAAGCTCATCACACTGACCTGTATTTCACCTCCTATCCACCAGAGGTCAGTACAACCTCAATTCATCTAGGTAGAAACTGCTTCACTTTGTTTAAGAATAAAGTTCCAGCTTTAACCTTTTATGTCCTCTTTAATTCTTTTACAATCATGTATGAAATAATAAACCAACAATATTCATATCTGCTGTCTGACCCAATAAATTTACTCTGACAGATTTTGAACAAATTCAATTTTAGGATCTCTCCTAAAATTAATTTGTTTCTATTTTGCTTAAAACTTTGTTCTACGGGTTTGAATTCTGAACAACAACATGAGCAGAATAGCACCTCGGTCTGTGAGACATCCCTTCATCGCACATCCAATTATAAGCTTCATCAGCAAAGGTTAAATTTTAGCTTTTTTTTTTTTTAAAGCTAGGATACAAAAACACAAAATTCAGTGGACCATTTTAGAACACTGGACTGTACATACAAACTCCTGTAGTGCTCCTGGAGTTTGTATTCATACAAAAAACAAAAAAAAACAACAACACACTTTTACAAAATAATAAAGAGACACAACCGGTGTTGTGATCATCAATGCAGCAGCTATTGCACCAATGATGATCACAACACTGGTTATGAGCCAGATTCTTCCTGGATGTGCTCGATGCAGTGCTGTGGATACTCACACACACTTCCTGAAGGAGGAGTCTGGACCACTGTATATCCTGGGACTGGCTGGCAACCCATAATCTACACACACACACACACACACACACACACACACACACACACACACACTTAATAACACAGTATCCTTCTGACTGATTAATTACAGTGTGTTTCTCAGATATTACCGTGCTTACTGGACTCAGAGCAGCTCCGCTTGTGTCGGACGGCGATGGGAGAGGGAGGGGTAATCCTTCTATTTCCTGTCAGGGGAAAGAATACCTCACCCTCTCCCTCTTCTTCCTCCCCCATACCATCTCCTCCAGACGGAGGTGGAGGAGGAGGAACATTGGGAGCTGAAAGCCAAAAGAGAGCATTGAGGTTTTTCATTCAGGCAGCAGGTAAAGCCAGAGAAAGACGTTGAACCAGATAAAACATTTAAAAAATGTTTATATAAGCTGACCTTTGACCCTGGGAGGCAGCGGGGGCGCAGGAGAGGATGGAGGAGGAGGTGGTGGGCTGGGGACGGAGCCAGCGGGATGGCTGTGAAGCTCCATAGCCATGGCGAGTCTCCTCCCCACACTGAGAAGGCCTCCAGCTGGTCCTCCGGGTGTTCCAGAGGAGGACAACATGACACAGGAGGAGTTGGACTGACTGAAGCTGAAGGGACGGGAGGAGAAGGAGAAGGAGGGGGTGAAAGAAGAGGATGAGGAGGAAGTGGAGCGCTCCTTTTTCAACGGACCATTCTGAAACAGAGGGTGAAGCACATGAAGACGTTAGCAGAGAGAAAGCAGTGAACAATTTATAAAGATCGATAGCTTAAAACTCATTATGAGCATCATGACTAAACTGCAGATTTTATGCACAAAGACTTTTACTCTAACGAGGAAGGGAGCCAAACATGTTTATTTCAAACAGAGTACAAACCAATGGGCTGCACCATAACCCAATAAAATAAGGATTATTTCAAATTGTGAACTGTGCAAAACTCCGATAGCAGAGTAGAGTAAATCATAAATACAAGTAACAGATCCCCCTTATACTTATATATGAAAGCAGAACATGAAGAAAAGGCAGTGACATCATTTAAATTACTCTGAGGACATTTTTTTGTAAAAATCTCAACTCAGCAGCCTGTCAGTTGCCATGGTTACCTTGTCATCAAAGTCATCATCACTGTCGTACAGGTCGTCATGACGAATCCTCCACTCGTACTCCACATGGACGTGATGGTCAAACTGGTTGGACTGGGCTTTCTGCAACTGCACACACACAGTAAAATATTTGTAAATGAGGATCACCTTCAAAGACAAGGGACAAGGCTTTAGGAGCTACTGACCTATCAGGTTTGAGCAGTATTTGACTGCATGCTGCTTAATAATCTATGCTGAGAGTAAAAGACGGTCAGTTGAGGATAGCTCCAAAAACTAGGTGCCTCTCTATAGACAAATGCCAGATTTTACAACAGAAATTCACTTGTTTACAACCTGCTAAAATATTTAGTTTCAGCTCTGTATCTGTTTTGCTCTTTTATAAAAACTACACAGGTGTTCAATGTGAAACTTTATCATCGCCTTTTGGTTAACAGGTAAGCAAATAAGTACCGTTTCACAGGCAAACAGTCACAAACCACTGCAACAGAGTAAAGATATTAAGTGCTACAACAGCAAAACAAAATCAAGTTAAAACACCGACTAAAATTAACAGGTAGGTGACTTAAGCTCACTATAGACAAGATAGTCTGCTAGCTTTGACCTCCACTTACATGACTCACTAAACTGGGGCTTTCACCATGTTTGACGCCTTTTTAAAGATATAAGATGCATTGCTGTGCAGTTAATTATAGTAACAGACCATCATTTATCTTGCTAAATACATTTTTTAAAAATTAAAAAACTAGTAATTTAGTCCTCTGGCATCTTGGTCAAATATGGTGATAACACAGTATAACAGGTGGTTACTGATTTATCAGACAGTCTGATGTGAATCTGTAATCAGAGCGATGACCTCACCAGTGCCTCACAATGGGTGTGCTTCAACCTGCGGCTCACATCCAGAGCGGTTTCTCCTAACTCGTTCTCTGAAATAAACGGTTAAGATATTAATTAATAATGAAATAATTACCAAATATCATCATCAGTTTATCCAAGTCACCAAAAATATTCTACATGTAAAAACCTAAAAACTGTGCGTTTTACTTATTGTCTGACAGTCCTCCTGTGTTGTTGTTTTTTTATTGGGCCTCATCTATTGGCTGGAGTCGATGGGCATGGGCGCAGAAGGCAGGTGACTCTACATGGAGAGTGAGGCTGAAGACCTACAACTCTACAGACACTGATCTTCTGTTTCAGGTTATCTTTAGTTTGTCTTTGCGATCCTTACTGTGAACCTCTGGATGATGTGGTTGTTTGAAATAAAGAGTGTTTTATCTTTGGGACAGTAATCCTGGTGAACTCGGATTATTTTGGATGTGAAGAGTCTGACATTTTTCTCATATGCTTTATCAGAATGACATTAAATAACCTCTACACACAGTTGATGCTCAACTGATAAATGAGAGCTCTGACAGATACATTATACAAGTGTGTGTGTGTGTGTGTGTGTGTGTGTGTGTGTGTGTGTGTGTGTGTGTGTGTGTGTGTGTGTGTGTATTACTGATGTGTGTGTTGGCTCTGGCTCTCAGCAACAGCTTCACACAGTCGGTCTTGTTGTGTAGACAGCTGTAGTGCAACGCCGTGTTTCCCGCTGATGTCTGTGTATCAACATTAGAGCTGACAAAAAAGAAAAAGAAAAACATGCAGGTAAACACAAAGGTACACACACCACACACACACACACACACACACACACACACACTGAGGTGTAACAAAGGTTTCCATAGCAGACTGACCAGTTCTGAGCCAGGAAGTCCAGGATGTGCAGTGATGTCCTGTCAGCCAGTAGGACAGCTAAATGGAGCGCTGTCTCCCCTTTCTCCTGAAGGCAAGAAAACAATCTCTTGAGATTATGTTGTTCCCAGATTAATAATACCTTGCATCTTAATGTAGCTGTGCGCGTGTAGCTGATTATACCTGGTTTTTTTTTTATATCTGTATGTGTGTGCGTGCAATCTAACATGCACATCAGTGTGCCTGTATCAAGTGTGTTTAGCTACCTGTATGTGTGCGTGCAGTGGCTGGCTCAGCTCTGCCCTCTGAGCGTACAGCTGGATCAGAGTGTAGATATCGCAGCTCTTGGTTGCCTCCTGCAGACGAAGTCGCAGCGCCGAAGTAGAGCTATGACTCCGCCTCACAAAGTTAACATCTTGATACTTTGACAGGATGAAGTCTTTACGCTCCGGCCTGCACGTCAAAAATATACAACATCAGATTTGTTAGAGTGTGAAATATTTCCTTTGAGTGTGTGCACCTGTGTTCGTCTCTTACATGTGGCTGTGTTGAGAGGGCTTCAGTGACGGACTCAGCAGGTTGGCTTCCAGTATTTCGTTAAAACCAGAATTACCGACATTCCTGGCCAACTGGGAGATACAGAGAGAGAGAGAGAGCTCACAGTCAAGGGCAAACAACAGGGCCATGTAATACCCATTCAGTGGGTATTGTATCAAGAATAAGAATCATCATGATTTTTAACCTCAGAATAAGATAGATTGGATTAGTTGGGGGACTCTCTCCCAACTCTCTGTGAACGGTACTCATGGCTAGTTTCAGTCATGACTGAAGAAGTAATTTGGATGAGTGACGAAACGTTTCTCCCACTGAAAACGCTACGCCCAGATGAACAGAATCAACTTTTGGGGATTTACTTACCTGGATGATTGAGAATGCATCGAGATGTAACGTTACAATCTTTTTCAGTTTGTCAGAGGTCACTGCTGACTGAGAATTGGAGCTTATTATGTCTTGCATGGATATAAATCTCTTCTCTGACTTAACATTAAATAACCAAGTTTGACATTTAGTTAAATATTTTCTAACATTACATATGTCAGAATAAACCACACTGCACTGAAATAGTAAAGATCCAGCTGCAAAGCAATGGAAATGCACAGCAGGAAAAAAAAGACTAAACGTAGAAACTACCTGAGAGTTTATCTCTAGAAATGTCTTTGATAACTGTTCACAAAGCTAACTGAAACTATGACACATGCTAATGACAGTTCTCAGCTGAGCACATGTAAATGCCCTGCACAGTAGCATTTCAGACGTGAACCCAGTTACACCTGGAAAGCATGACTGATAAGCTCATTAGCTAACAGGTCTGACCTACCAGCAGGTCTGAGGTTCCCAGACTGTCCAGGCTCAGAGACTGGATCCTGGAGACGTGGACCCCCATTTCCCTGTGGATGCCTGAACACTCAATACAGGTCAGGATACCCAGGTTTGTAGACAGCCACCCAGGATCTACAGTAAGAGAGGTCAAGGTCAAAGGTCAAGGTCAAATTTATTTATATAGCACATTTCCAGATAGAAGATGCTGCACAAAGTGCTTAACAATATAAAAATGGCATTAAAAAGCAACAATGTAATACAATAATAACAATAATAGGACAATAAAATAATTAAAACAATAACTAAAACTATTAAAATAAGACCAAAATGCTTGGGCCATAGTGTGTTAAAAGCCAGGGCATAGAAACGTGTCTTTAGTAGTGATTTAAATCGATCAAGTGTTTGTGCAGATCTAATATTTAGGGGGAGACTATTCCAGAGTCTGGGACCTGCCACAGAGAAGGCTCTATCGCCATGAGATTTGAGATTAGTCCGTGGGATGGACAGCATTAATTTTGAGCTTGACCTCATGGTTTTTCATGGAGCATAAACAGAGAGGAGCTCAGACAGGTAAGAAGGGCATTAGGTGACTTAAAAACAAAAAGTAAAAGTTTCAATTGGATCCTGTAGGAGACAGGAAGCCAGTGTAGAGAAGCTAAAACTGGGGTTATATGCTCTCTCCGGTTGGTACCAGTTAGCAGGCGAGCAGCTGCATTTTTGACCATCTGAAGACGATGAATGGAGGCCTGGTCGAGGCCAAAAATACTATGAATTGCAGTAGTCCAATCTGCAAGCAAGGAAACGGTGAATGGCACGTTCAAAGACATTAGCCGGGAGGTATGGTGTTACCTTGGCTAGCTGTCTAAACTGAAAGAAGCAGGACTGGACTACTGCACTCACCTGCTTATTCAATTTAAAAGAACCATCAATGTAGACACCGAGGTTTTTTACATGTGTTTTACAGGAGGAGGAAAGGGGGCCCAGAGTGCCATCGATGTGATTATTGACAAAGCTGCCAAAAATGACAACTTCAGTTTTATTTTCATTTAGCGAGAGAGCTCATCCGAATACTTCCTGCAGATTTTTTCACATTAAAAGCCTGCCTTGGCACAAACCACCTGATTGTAGAAATACAGACTGCTAATAAGAAATTATATAACATTTAGCAGATAAATATTAAATACACGCTTGGAATTAAACTAAGCTATTCATTCAACTGTCTTATTTGCCACAAAATAATCTTTCAGTTATTTACTTGATTAAATATGACACAATTAAATCAGTAATCTCTTCGGCATAACATCTAGTGTACTTTGTTGGTTTGATTACCTGGTGCGCCGCAGTCACAGCAGCTGTTGTTTCCCGGCATCCGTTTGATGTCATCGGTGATGGCTCGGGTCAGATCCTCCACGCTGCTCTCACTCCCTCCTCCTCCTTTTCTCCCCCCGTCCAGAGCCATACTCAGAGCCTCCTGCTTGCTGTTAGTGAGCACCGACATCCAGCTGAAAACAAACAACACTTCTTAATAATGTGTTCTCATTTTTAGACCCAAGATGATGTGAGCACCACAAGAAAAGAGTAGTCCGACAATTTACCACCATTACTATATTAAAAAGACACACACGGCCGCTGACATCTCAGTCCAACCTCTCTCAGACAGCGTTTCAACAGACATGCATCTCACTTCTTTAGGTGCAAAGTTTGTGGAGCAGCAAAGGAAACTACTCTTCTGTCTAACTAAACATTTTCAGACTTGTAATGTTTAGTGTCTAGTGTCACATGTGCAATCATACTGCCCAAAACCTGCAGAAACATAACTCATACTGTACGTGTAAACTTAGCAGAGTGGCCCGTTAACAACCTGCCCGAAGAAAGTTTTACTCACGCCACACACTCAGCTTCATCTTCAGCCAGGAAGTGGTAGGTCCGATTATCTGCAGGAAAAGGTGTATCTTATGCTTACAGAGACGTATTTATACAGTACATAATACTGATTACATGCATTTAAATTTATATTTGGATGCATGCAGTTTTTATCTTGTGTTAAATTATGTACGACTTCAGTGTACATGTAGAATAGCATTTAGTGACACTTACGGGAGATAAGGTCAAAGCATTTCTTATCCTCCACGCTGGGTTTAACCTGACAGGTGAGCAGGTTGAGTCTGGTGGGAGGTTTGTTCGGCTGAAAAGCAGAAAGAACGCTGCTGATAAGATTCAGTTAAAACATAGACAGCAAAGAGAACTAAGCCAAACAGATTTTTCCTGCTGTTTTTATCTCTTTATACATTTATACACACGCACTCACAGTAGCATGCGCGATGGTCAGGTAACAGTTGTGAACTGAACATTTCCTCTTCTGCCACATTTTCCTCAACCTGTAACACAAACACAGTTTTAGTCCTTTTAGTGATCCTAATAGCGCATCTTCCCCCATCCAACATAAATATTTTGGAAAACATCGACCAGTCTGGAGGGAACAAATTACAAAGGAGACAATTCCTTGCCATTCCATAATCCACACACACAAATATAAGTACGAATCCAGCACATGTGCAATGTCGCTCCTTGTCAGTTCAATATCTATATCGCCAGTTCACAACAGCTGCCTCAAGGCACTTCATTTTGTAGGTTAAAGACGCCACAATATTAGAAAGAAAAGTGAGAATAAAAGAGTGCCTTAAGCTATGAGACACAAGCCTTTAAAAGGAGATGATGCAATGACCATGATTATATAACAACATTAAACCAACGGCTGCAGGCTGATGTTGGTTAAGTGGTCCAAGAACTATTCAAATTCAAACAGTCAGTAGCACCAAAAAGCTTAAGGACACTCCATTAAGAGCACAAGTCAGATACATTTTTCTAAATGCGTTATTAATGTCGAGGAACAAATGTCGGTCAAGGTGAAGATACTTTTAACTATTTAACATTGTTTATATGAGTTGCCCTATTTTATCAACGCTTTGGTACCGTTTGTTTTTAAAATTGAAATGATTTTTTTTTTAAAAACTGCAATTGAAAAAAATCAGTACTACCAATGCAGTTTGCACATTAAGAGTAATTGAGGCATTTAACTTAATTGCACTGCTTTGTGAATGTTTAAAAAGGCGTGCAGGTTATTTTATGTTGTGTGTTTACCCGTCACTCTTCTTGTAGAGGAATCCTGTTCTCTCCGTCCCGTACTGTTTGTCTCCCAGCAGCTGATGCATATTGTACACCTGCTTAGGCAAAGAGTCCTACACGCGCACACACACACACACACATGTGCAGACACACATTCATTATTTTGCATGTCCAAACAGCAAAATAGCCCACATATGTGTCTGTGTCTCTGACCTGCTCCGTGTGGACGACCGGCCTCAGCTGATCTCTGAGTGTGCACAGCTGTCTCTTCTCCTCATCCTGACGTTGCTTCACCTGCACACACAAACAGCTCACCTGCAGAGCTCAGCTAATCCAGCATCACATGCTGCTGCCGCGCTTACACCGTCCAAATCTCACTCAGCAAATTTCCATTTTTAGTTTTGGAGTAAATCATCACGAGTTTACTTCTCATGGTATATTACATATGTAGAGAGCTGGAGCTGATCAGTTACTGTATGAATGGATGAGTTTTGATCATGTGACTGCAGAGACAGGGCACAACCAAGCGGCAAAGTATAGTTCCTCAAGGCTGGCTCCAAAAGGAAAGTCAAAAAGAGAGTAAATCACTTAATTTCTTACTTCATGTAATGTCTCTATTCTGTATGTTGTATTCTTCATAATAATAATTTTTTAAAAGTAAATGACTTGATTTTAATCTCTGTGCAAATCATTAACAATCTGCCAGCCGCACTTAAAGGCTGCTGCTAGTGTTGCTGCTGTTAGCACTTCCTGTACCGTGGTCAGGACTCCGTTGAGCTCATCCATGTACTGCTTCAGCCTCTGAGTGGTGGAAACACACTCCTGCAGGAAACTGAACACAAACATAAAGATGTAGTAAATCGAACCATTCCAGTTTACTGTATGTAGCTTTGCCAAAGCTGTGTTTGTGTGAGCTCCTACTTGTTGTGGCTATGGTAGTGTTTGATGAGGTTCTGCAGAAGGTCGACTCCTCGCTTCGTCTTTATCTCATTGACCCTAATTAGATACTGAGGGAAAAAGACAAGAAGCGATTGAAGGAAAGCTGCACATTTAAAAAATAAAATAAATAAGAATGGAAATGAAGGGGAAGAGTCACTGACCTCACACATGCTCAGTTGGAAGGAGCGTCTCTCCTTCTCCAGCTCCTCCGCGATCTCTCCTCCGCTCACCTCACTCCTCACCATCCCATACTGCCGAGCTAACTCCCTCTTCTCCTTCTCCACCTGTTTACTGCACACACAGTTTCAAGACTTTAATTTAAAAATCTTCCTGCCCCTAATACAAACGTATTAAAGTTTCCAGTCTTAGATACTAGCAAATAAACATAAGTTAATTCAGTGTCACTCACAATCTGCTCTCATAATCCCTCCACGCTCTTTCAAAAGGCTTTTTCAGATCCTAGGAGACACAGAAGGAAACTGGAATTAGAATTATTTACCTTACTGAACACAAGCAGCAGCATCCTGAGGCTAAACAGTAAAAAAGACTACAAAGATTCATTTTTTTTGACTGAACTCTGGTGAAATGTTGACAGAAACACTGGTCAGAGGCTCGTGACTGTTATAGTTCATACGAGTTATTTAGGTGGTATGAATGCACTAAGCAAAGATGAATGTCCTCACCCCCTTCACCTCCCTCAGGTCTCCTTTAACCAGAGAGTCCAGGAAGAAGTTGATGTTGTGGAGCATGCTCTTTAGCTGAACACAGAGAAACATAAATTATCTAAAGGGAAAACACATACTGCTCAAAGCCATCATGGGTAACACTATGAACTGCTTAACATGAAAAACATTAAGACAGTTTAGGTGATTATGACTTTGACAGAGAGCACAAAACCATATGACACAAGGATTGTGTCACGAGCTCACTACGGTCTACTGCCGTCCAGATGTATAGTAATTGGACCTACAGTTTGGTCTTAAGTTAGGTCCTTAATCGGACAGTGACAGTAATGTTGCTTCTGTACACCAACACAGCGGATTTAAATAAAGCAATCAAATATGAGTACCTCATTTTCAAACCCCAGAATAACTGGACAATAAATGATAATAAAATGCACTCGCCATAACATAGAACCAAAAAGTCTGTATTTAATCATGTAGCTGATGCTGGTCAGTCAGTCATTTTGCAAATGAACTCATTATGCGCTCCTCGACATGGGGCTTTCTGTAAAGGAAGGAGGCAGATATTTTCAAACTAGAGCAAAGACTCATTTTAAGGGTTTTTTCAAACTGAAGTTACAGATTTTTAAGTAGAAACTCATCAGCTGGAGGTGTTTTGTTGCTATCACTCACCAGGTTTTTCATGGGAGAGAGGAGCTCTTTGGAAAAGTCTGCCAGGCGGCAGAAGGCGGAGCCAACCTCCGTCTCTCCGTTTGAGTGACAGTTGACCGACAGCTTCTCCATCGCGTTAATGTACTGCTCCAAATGAGACACGTGTTCTGACACAGAAATGCTGTTAGTAAAGGGAACAATACGGGGATGTGCATGTGTGTGTCTGTATATTTTGGGGTGTGTACCTTGACCTGATGTGTATTTGGCTTTTGCAGCTTTCTTCATCTTCTGTAGCACCAACCTGTCGCTGTCCAGAACCTGAAAAAAAAACAAAAAAAACAAACCATACACACATTAATAAAGAGTGTGTGGACCTGCAGTGTGTGCATGTGTGTGTACATGTGCATGAAGGGGAGGTGGTAGTAATTCACCTGCTGACTCAACATACACACAGAGGACAAACTCGATGACATCGCTTGATGGCAGCAACGTTCCTGTGTGAGAACCATCGTCTGATCACTAAAAATCTCCACATGAAACTCCACAGTGAAGCTCTTCTCCCCATTCTGAGAAGATTTTAATGTTTTACCTTCAGCAGTTATTAACAGGTTAATAGTTTGTATAACGATTTCTACATGATTATTTCTGAATGTGTCAGACCACATATCTAATGGAGGCTGCCAGTTTTCATGCGCTGCTGCTTCTTATTGATTATTAAGTACTTTTTTTTGACACTATAACTTGAGTGTGGAAATGATGATTGATGGTTGTTATTATTGCAGTTGGAAATGTTAGGGTTGAAAATACTGTGTTACGTCAATAAACCACCACAAATTTCAAATTTTATCATTTAATTACATTTAAACAGCTTCAGGGTTTGCTTGATTTTTTCACATTCAACTTTCAAAGGTGTCCTTATGACCTAGATGTTGACATAAATGCCATTAAAATTAAAGAAAAGTGATAATTATGCAAAAAAAATATGACAGGAACTAAACAAATGACCCTATCTGCAGCAGATTTTGGGGTATTCATAGCATTATTAATATGCTCTACTTTATTGTCAAACAGTGAAATAACATTTATCTATGCCTGTTGGGAATTTATCTTTGGACAAGCTTGGACTGTCTATATGTTGCTTATTATTCGTGGCTTTAAAACTTTGCACACATGAAATAAATGTCACTATAAACAGGTGGTATGCCACCATATGGGTGTTTATTCTTAAAAAAAAAAAATTATAAATAATTAGAAATTATAAAATTAAATCTGTAATTTACAGTTTTTCAGCCTCCTTTGAATGCAGCACCAGTGTGCAAGCTAGAACATCCTTTACGTAATTATCCCTCTGGCCCCTTCTCTTATCATCAAATAACCATAGCTGTGAATGATTAATCTGTTGCCATGGTAACATATGCCAACACTGTTGGGGGTACATGTTTGGGGCAGAAGGGCAGTGTTTTTGAGGCCAGGCTCAGGGTCAGTAGCTCCACTGTTGAGGGAATTGCGCTGCCTGCTGGCTTGAGGGGCATCCCCATTCAAGCTCTCAGACCTCACACAGTAGCAGAGCAAATTTACAAACTGTTTAAGACCTTTAGTAGATTATAAAATGTTCTAACTTTAGAGCTAATCACTTTAACATTAAGAAATTACTTCTGTATATGTAAATATTTAAAGGGCTTCAGTCCATTGAGTCTTCGGATGAAGGGTCCAAAATGTTTGCAAATTTGCATGCAAAGGGAGGTTTAGACAAAACTTTCATGATTTTGTTCCGCGTTTCCTTCTGAAATCCTGCAAGCACACTGCAAACTATAAGGGTGATATGAAAGTCGTGGCAGACAAATGGAAAAGAAACTGCTGTTACTGCAGAATGTTATTTTAGTCAAACTTCGTAGTGAGATACAGTCTGCTTTTTGTTTCAATTCAAGGATGTTCTGAAAGGTTGTAAACAACATGTCTGCAAATATAAGATGAGTAGTAGTTAAGGAACAGCTTTGTGCTAATTAGCCATGCTACCAATCTGCTGATTTAAAGAACCATTTGCACCCCTTGTGTTTTGACAAATTTTGCATAGCATGATTCTGTGTCTTCCTCCAAAAACTCAAAGTGACAGCAACACTTTGATTGTGAATGAAGTACAAAAGCTGGACTTCAGTGACTGAAGCATTTGTCTAACAGAAATGATCACATTTCTTCACCAATAAGCATGATAGCTCGAAGGGCGATTGACAGTAAATAAGAAGATTCATGTTTTTGATTAATAAGTAAAACATGGAAGATGTAGCTCTAGTATAGTCATTAAAAACAATGCACGAATTTAGCAAACAGTTGAGTGGATTGCTTTTTGATAAGGAATCTGATACTTTCCTCAAAGTACAGTAATACACGAATGCATTACTTTTTCTGTACGCAGTAACTAAGAATATATCTGAACTAGTAAAAATGATTGTCACCTGTCAAAACGCTGCCCAGTTTACACAGCTTTTGTCTACAGCGGCTTTGATCTCGATATAATGGCGACAAGCTCAAACACTGCTGTTAAAATAAAACAGCTGAAGGGGTTTGGGCAATTTGACCAAGATGCCTTCCTGGAGATTTGTGCATCTCATTTGGCTTGGGAATGCTTCAGTGTGATCCTTGAAAACAGCTGGAGGCAGTGGTGATGGTGAAGGAGGTGTGGGCATACAAACTGTATGAGGCCTGCCTTGTACTCCTATAGAATCAAGTGTTGAGCTGGTGGTCAATGTCATGAAACCCAGTCATGACAGTCAAAAGCTTCTTGCAATAGCATTAAATAGAGGTAACATTTTCTGCAACTTCTTTCATAAATGGCTCTGAAATTTAGTGAAAATAATGAAACATCTGCACAGCGGCGAGAGCTCTGGAGCCGCTCAATGGATAATATTTATAAACCATAATGTCGTCAGACCTGTGACTAAACAAATGTTAAAAGACATATCGAGGTAAAACAGTCCAACCATCAGAACTGTGTGTTATAATGTGGATTCGTCTGTTTAACAAGAGTGTGGTGAGTCTGTTTGTGTCAAAAGGTTGGGATAAGTAGCACAGACATTTAAATGAAATTGTGAATATCAAGCTGAAAAGCCAACAACGCTAAGCACCAGGGGTCATCGTTAGTTAATGGAAACCGTCAATGGCAATAAATTCATAGTGCATAACCTCATGAATCACAAAGAAATTGACCTGCACACTCCTGGTCGCACACTCTGTGTCGTAGTTCTTTGACCCAACTCTCTTCACAGCGATGATCGTCGATATAAAGGCTGTTACACTTTGACACACAAGTTGATACTTGCTCTCTTTGCAAGTTTGAGGTTTTAAAATGCATTAGTCAAAGCAGGACTAAAAGGGAACCATCTAAACACAGCAGAAAGGCTGTGCTGTGCTTCACAAGGAGACAAATTTAAATCGGTCACATTTTGTTTGTACCAAGAAGAATTTTAAAAGGAATAAACTGTTTCATGCTTGCAGGCATTTATCATCTACAGTAAGTATGTATAAACACTTAATGTGCAAAGGCCTTTGTGATTTGTTAATCACATGCAAATAATATAAAAATGTTGTCATTTGTAGGAGACAGGGTTAAAAGGAAAAACTGTACATTTCACACAAAGAGGGGTTGGTATGAAGGATTGATTGGGGGCCACAGCTGCTCATTTTCCCCGGGGACCCTTAGCACTTAGGTCCGGCCATGAATGTAGGCTAGAAGCCAAATAATCAATTTACCGTGTACGGATAATCTCATTCATCAGGTAGCCTACACCCGTCCTGTTGAATCTGCACGATAAGCATCTTCAGACTGCTACCACTACCTGCTACCCCTCCTCTGTCAGTACTGACCTCCTCCAGCAGGTAGACTGTGTTCCTGCAGCTGATCATCTTGGAGGTGAAAGAGGAGGTAGTGGGAGAGTTCCAGTCCTCCTGAACCTCCTGGACGAACTCTGATACCGACACACACTCCGGCATTGTGCTCCTGAGGCCGGTAAGGACCGGGAGAGAACCAGGACAGTCCGGAACTGAAAGACCAGTTCCACACAAAAGACCGAGGACACCAAGCGCAACGTAGAGTCACCAACAACACACAAAAATTAAAAAATACAGCTGAAACGAGCCCATCAGTGGTACGTCCAGACTCCCACAGTCCCGGTAAGAGAAACTAGCATCAACTGGCTGATTAAAAAAAAGAAATGGGTAATTAAAGACCTGCTGGGTGATTCCTCCTCCGTCAGTGTGAGTGAACCGCAGCATCAGCTTCTTTTCTCCAAACAAAGGTGGTTAAACCCAGCAGCAGATGAAAGCCCACCAGCCTCTCTGCACGAAACAACCAAAAGATTAAAACGCCGCCGGTTCACTGACGTCCTAAGATCGAGTCGGTCTCCGATAGAGCGTCTTCATTGAGAGAAAACCAGCAAACCCGCCCGTGTGTGGTCAGTGTGTGAACCCGCTGACAAAGAGCGGAGGAGAGGAGAGGAGAACCGGACCCGCCGGGCACCGGTTCCGGGCTCAGATGAGACAATAAAAGCGGCTTCTGCTGTCGGCTTCAGCCGCAGCTTCATGTCTTCTCGTCACAGATATTTCTTTTCCTGCTTTTGCTCCTTTATTTAAACCGCATGGAGAGGCGCGTTCACGGTGTACAGCGGCGGAGCCCTCTGTCGCGGCCGCGCGCACTGCTGACCGGGAGGAGTGTGAAACGCACGCTCCTCCAAATAAACCTCAGCTCGTTACACCTGCGTCCTCTCGTTGTTCGCTTAATTTACTCAACCGGAGTTACATTTCCACAAACGGCCATTTTAAAGTTAGTTTCAAAAGAAAAGGAACCATGAGAACAGGATTAGCTACTCAAAGACCCCACAATCTGAAAATCCCTGTTTGTGCTTTTTTCGACTCGTTTTCAGTAAAAAAAAAAACAAATAAATTAAATTGGTTTCAGCCGGCAGGCTTAATTAGGACAAGCATGTAAGCGGCTAATACCTATCCAAAGACTTCATGCATATATATATATATTAATTTAATTTTGGGTTGATAGTTTTATTTTTATTTTCTAATTTAGCAAACCAACCCAAAAATCTTTCTAAAAATAATTCGAAGAACTTCACGTTTTTTGAGCATTTAGCCAGTGAAAAACCGATGCGACACCACGGTTCAGTTGTTGTCTAATGACGTAAGTAAATGTCATCTTATTCGCTGATATAATGTTGTCAGACAGATGTTGGTATCTGCTGATATTGGATCTGTTGCACCGGTGGATCCATAGGGTATATACAGGCATGTTAAAAGCTAAGGTCCATTGGACTCGCTCCAGTTCTGTGAAAAACGAAGTACGATTCATAATTTAGCAGCAATAACTTGAAGTTTTCTGTTTGACTTTATCGGTCTTTCTTGTTGTGCAGGAACTTTGGTCCACTCTTTACACGGTCGCCTCAGTTCGCTGACGTGAACTACCAATTAGTCGTCTTCTGGCATAATTTCCTTTGTAGTGTCTGAGGCAAAAAGCCAAAGTTTGTCTTGGCATCAACCATCATTATCATAGTTTTAGGGGAAACAATCAGAGCAAACCGCTATAAACAAGCTACTTCCAACTTCCTGTTGTTCTGACAGAAGATAAGAATGAAGTCTGACAGCTGAGTGCAGCGTATTACTTAAATACCTCTAACAAACAAGGAAACATCCAAAGTACTTTGATGCCTGTTTTAGATATGAGATAATAAAATGTCCCACTGTTAAAGTTAGGTGTGATATTGAGCCTTTTCCCAAGAAAATATAATAGTCAAGCTAGAAAACAGTTCATCTTTTTAAAGGAAGATTTAGCAAAGTTCTCCTACACCAGACTAAATGTGTCGTTATGACAGAAATAATGTGTGCTCTATAACTTCAGTGCAAGAACTTCTACACAGAGGCAGCCTTATTTCTGTCCCTGCAGTTCAAATCCCAGCCAATTAATTTTGAATGAGTTAATCTAATTTCACAACTTATTTGCGAAGGGAAGAAACTGTGGTTTTAATTCTGCATAACCACAGTGAGTAGAGACGTGGCATCTCACTTCATAATTATGTTGTTTCTCACCTTTCTACAGAATTAAAAAACTTGAATTTTCTGCTGTGATAGCTGTTAACAGGCACAATGACAGAACATAGAGAAATTACTTAAGCAGAGATCAGAAATCAGCACTGACAAATCCTTACCACGTTGTCTTAGCTGTCTATGGAGTCAAATATTTTGGAAAAATATCTGGAGAACCACGTATTAAATTCCTGAACTGCAGATTCAGCTTTTATGTTTGTTTGTTTTATACCTTATTTGGGTGATCTGCCAGGAGCAAAAACAGGAAGTGGCAGATACACTTAAAAATTTATCAAAGTCAAAAGTTTACAGCGCAACCCAAATACACTAACATTCACGAAATTAACTTTCCTGTTGGTGATTTCCTTCAGCATTATTGCAGCTTTAAATCTCTTTCTTCTATTACGTTATGTAGAAGGCCTAATGTATGAGACCACTATTACATAGCATGCTGTATGTTCTGTGGATATAGGACTACATTGCATGTATTACTTGTATAGTAGATGCTGGATGCCGATGTAGCAGCAATTATACTCTGTGCCATTGTCTTTGACATAAACAGATTGCTTAATGCAGCACAGAAATAGAACCATCCGTTATGTAAGGAATCTGTTGTAGCTGACATTCAATTCAGATTGTTTTGGTGCAAATTGCTTTGTCTTTCAGTTACTGAGAAATCGTATAGCTCTCAGTGCTGGTGTGACGCTGATCCCACTACAATTAGCACACCAAATTTGTGCATAAAAGAAGCCAGAAAAACTGCCAAATTGAATAGAATTAAAAGCAAATTAAAGTTAATCTCCTTCACTGGGACTCTGCAGGTTTCGTTTGATCATTTGGTGGAACTTTCAGGTCTGACCTTAACCCTGTTAATTGTGACAGCAAGCAGGAGTTACATAGAAGTAAATGTAAAAGTAAAAGATCCTTGGTGTCATGAATGCGTGCTGTTATTAAATCCTTTCCTGATCAGTTTGTTGTCTCACTGAATGCATGTTCATTTTGTAAAAGAGGGTTCCTATCAGTGTCCAGCATGACAGTAATGCAGGGTATCTTTAAGGGCGGTACCACCATATGAATGACAGGTTGCTACATGCGGCTTTTATCGGTTTCTTAGTCAGGTCCATCTGCATTCATGATCAAAGCTAAAATGACAATGGAGAAAATACTCTGAGAACTTTGAAAATAGGAGTAACTTTCACTATATTTAGATTTAAGAACCCAGTGTCCAGGCGGATCTATTTGCAAAAATAACTTCTAGTATTCATAATTTATTTTAATTGGTATATAATCCCTGGAAAATAAGAACTTTTGCAGCTTTATTGGCTTCAAATATGCCCCACAGCAAGAATGGGAACTATTTCATGGAGTATGATCATTGCATCTGTCTGCAGTCTGTGACTTCACTGCTAAATGCCAGAAGGTTGTGTACTTATTTGACTTGCCTTCAAATTATAACACCAATATAAACCTAACTATGCATAATACACAATATTAGACGTATTACAATGAATAGAAAAGTGTTTTATTTTAACATACATACTTATTTGTTACATCAGGTTGCTGCAAGTTTTACAGTTCATAAAATACATGTACATAAGATCAGTGTGGTTTCAAACTGAGGAAAGAGATTTAATTTCCTCTGAGGATGGATTCATCCAAACGTAAAACATCTCTTTGATTATGTAGTGCAGTCAGGATAAATACATTAAATCACCTGTTATACAGATTAGGTACATAAAAGTGAGGAATATAAAGGACGCTGGGCCAGGTCAGGTCAACAACCAGCCATCCATTTCTTTACCCCTTGATGATGAGAGAGCTGATTTGCTGTGGCATTGTGTAGACAATGAGAACGATGAAAAGCGTGAGGATGGTGATGATAACCAGAGCAATGATATACTTCTTGTATTTCTTCCAGATGAGGAAGACGAAGGTCTTCATCGGGTTGACGAACCAGGCGAAGCTGGTGGTGGGACGACTGGAGAGACAACAGAAGACAGTTTATATGTGTTCACACCTGGGCTGTGGAAGCCTACAGGCTGGGTCACACCAAATTCAAAACATCAGTGTTTTACCACAAAATAAACTTTCCCTGCTAGTGACCAGAAACGACAGGATTACAAAATTAGTACATCAAAGAAACAGATCAGGCTGTGCGGTTTGGAGACAAAGGTAGAGAGACAAGACTGAGATGGTTTGGACATGTGCAAAGGAGGGAGAGTGGATATACTTCATAAAGCATGCTCGATATGGAGCTGCCAAGCAGGAGGAAAAGAAGAAGCCTATAGAGAAGGTTCTTGGAGTAGTAAAAGAGGACATGCAGAGGATTAGCTGGAAAGAGGAAGATGCTGGAGATAGCGGGGATGGAGGCAAATGAGCTGCTGTAGCAACCACTAAAGAGATCAATCAAAAAAAAAAAAGAAAATGGTTTTAGTTACATTAATCAGGGAAATTTAGAGATGAAAGAAAAGGAAGTTAAAGACATTTATAAGAGAGTATTCAAGTGTATAAATATATTAACTTGAAAAAAAGAAAAGAGTTGTAGTGTGCATGTGGTAGTGCACGCAGTACTTTGGTTTGTCCAGAGGCTCTGGCTCCTTGCGTGCCCGACCCACAGGGTTGGCCTCCGCCTGCTCCAATGTCACCAGCTGAAGCTCCGCCTCCACTTTTCCCTTCATAGAGACAAGTTTGTGTTAAATAAAATTCATTTTCTTCATTTGCCATTATAAACTCAAAGACCAGAAGGCCAAAAGTGGGGAAAAAAGCTTTTGCTGCTGCAAAACTGTTTAAATTTCTCTTCTTGTGCCAACAGACACAGATGTTCTATAATTTAATTGAATATGTAGTTACTGCTTCTTGAACTGAAGTGATTCAGATGGATTTTTTTACCATTAACAGGAAAGTGTTGCCCATGCTGTCAGTGTACTGGATGTCCTCCTCTCTCAACTGGCTCCTCTTGTCTTTGTTCTTCTTTTTCTTTTTGCGTCCCTTCTTTTTGGCTTCCTCCTTCTCCTTCTCCTCCCTCTCAAAGTCCTCGGCGGTCTTTGGACGAGTCAGGGGCCACCAGCCCTTCATCTTCTTGGCACGAAAGATTGAGAATCGAGGACTGGCCCGATCCTTCGCCATCGAAATCGTACACTTACCGGATGACTTTGCCGGTCGCACCATGTCGCTGAGGCGCAACTCTATTGCACCTAGCAGATGAAGCATAAAAGAGGAATGACTGGGTGGAAGAGTCGGAGGTGATGACTCTTTAATCTTGTGACACATTTTAAACAGTGGATGGAAAAATAACAGCTCAGCCGTGAGTTGAATAAAGCTGAAATAACTATTACAGAAACATAAAAACATTCATTTGTTAATTGCCAAGATTGTTACTTTAGGGCAGCTGTGGTATAAACCATACACTGGGTGGTGGTCTAATAATTCTTTTAAGGGATATTAAGCATTTCCTAATTGACTGTGTTGATAAGCCTGTGTGCCTCACCCAGGAAGTCATTGGCAGCGATGCGATCGTAGTCCCAGACCTGCAGAGCCAGAACAGCCGGCTGACGAAACTCTGACTCCTCCAGAGAGAAGATGGACTCCTTCTTCTTGTACACCACCTCTTTCTACAGAAGGAGAAGATGCATTTTTAACATTTTATAGACTTATTAGTTATCTGGTTGTAGCCCTGGAGACATAAGAGCAAAGGCTAATTGACATTAAAAGGTCCAGACATCACTAAAATATGTGTGTACCTCAGTAGGAAGGTAGTCAAAGCGGAAAACAAAT